CAGTAATATGCTAAGGGGACTAAACCCTCGCATGACCACTGCGAGGTACTACAACTTGCAAGGCGTCAGATATCCACCATTGTGGGAATACTACGGGACATTGCTTGCTGGAAAACCTGGGATTTCGCAATGATCCTACCACGTGGAAGAGGAAGAAACTTCATACCATATGATCTTCGAATCCAAAGCTCTTGCTAGGCGGTGTTTTACTCTTTTCGGCCCAAAACCAGGAAGAACGCCCCAAGAAGACTTGGTAGGGAACTTAGTAAAAGTAACCAAATGCACAGGACTATTCCAAAGACAGTTCCTGAATATAGGGAAATCAGGGAAATACAATAAAACCAAGAGACCGCAGTGTTCTGAGCCAAAATAATCCTACCTGCTTATAACCGATAAATATTGTACTTCAAAGTATTTACAACTTTATTGAAGAATCAGCCATACGACATGCTGTTTTTGAAAACATTCAAAAACTGCAAAAAGCTTTACTGGTGGACCAGCAAGTTAAAATTTTAAATGAAACCAAATGGGTTTGCCTTGTTGAAGAAGTATTAGATAATTTTGAAACTAATGTGGGACTCTACAAGAAATTGCACAGATTGATCCTGATAGTGGTGGACAGGCCAATGCTTTGTTAACATGGAGTAATTCAAATTTATATTGGAATTGCTATTACTAAGGACAGTTCAAACACAATGTGACTTGCATCTAATGAAGATAAGACTTTGATGACCTATTAGATATTCAAGAAAATTCTAAAACATCTACTTATGAACTGTCAAGAAATTATGGCATTAGCTGAAAGTCTGTACAAAACATTTTGCATAAAAATAAGTCACACCCTTATAAGAATTAGCAGATGATTTTAATCGGAGGTTAGAGTTTTATGAAACGGTTTTAGAAAAAAATGGCAGGCAAAAAAATTTACTAGATTGTGTTGTATTCAGTGATGAACCTGCATCCTTTTTGAATGGGTACTACTACTAACAGACATAATTGCCGGTACTGGTCAGATTCTAATACGCACTGGATGGATGAGACTCATACACAATATCCACAAAGAGTTAATGTGTCAAATTATCTCTGATATAAATAAATTATTTCTAAATATGAACCACTACTTTCAATAGGATGGCAAACCTGCACACTATCACATAATTATCAGACAATATTTGGATACCGTTTTTCCCAAGAGATGGATTGACCGAAGAGGTGCAATTGAGTGGCCGGCAAGATATCCTCACTTGACTCCACTTGATTTTTTCGTAGGGTTATCTAAAGGACCGTGTCTATGTAAAGAGACAACTAATATAAATTAGTTAAAGGATCGCATACGTCTTGAAATGCAGGCAATGTCTCCAAAAATGATCACAAATTATATTAGGAGCTTTCAAGATAGATTGTATTATTGCCAACAAACAGATGGACAACACTTTAAGCACTTGTTGTGAAAAAACTTTATTTTTTCTGTTTTATTATTTTTGTAAATTAATATAACTGTTAAACAATTACATGTATTATGTCTTCGGTAATTTTTTCTTGCATTACAGTAGTAATGTGGTATTTTTAGTTTTGTGAAAAGATTTTTCCTGATACATCACCAGACCTAAGTTGACACTTAAAAAAAGTCAAGATGGTGACGGTACCCTAAACGCTGACGTCACATACATTTGACATGTCCTCTAAACAAATGCAGACTATAGTCCCATACATCGTCCTATAATTTTATAATTATACATGCATTCGTTTCAAAGAAAATACCTTGTTGCCAGACTTTTGCACTACCCTGTATGTATGTTATTTGATATGTAATATTGTTACACAAGTATTAGAAATTAAAAATTTAAAAAAACCGACTTCAAAAACGTGCAGATGCCATATGGGACCACCCCTGAGGTACCCCCTTACTAACAAAAAAAGAATCATATAAATCGGACAAGGTGGTAAAGCATTATCGCTAAACATATGGGTCTTCAACAATACCGAAAACCCACGTGACCAAATCGTCATGACAGCGATTGGTGAAAATAAAAGTAAAAATCCCTAAATTTGAGCCAGTGCCGTAGGTATTTTATTACAAATAGAAAATAGATCTTCTTTTTTTATGGTCTGCAACTACGAGAACAAAATTCAGTCAGGTAACTGTTAGAATTACAACACAAATTCATAATATTAATTAGAGGTGCTTTACATTATTGTATTTTAATGTTAGAATTCGATAATTTAATTAGATTTAATCAAATTCAATAATCTAATTTTTAAAATTATGATATAAATAACATAACCTTAAAAACTGAGCTGTTTATATCTAGTTTGTATTTAACGAAAAGAATAAACTGAAATATGGTTCGTACTAGTTATTGTCACTACTACAAAAAAAACCTTTACCAGAACAGGGCACAAAAAAGTTATGGATAAAAATGTTATGCATTAAAATATGAATAAAATTAAAAATTATTTACTTTAGATTGACTCTTTAAGGGCTGATTCCACCGTTGTGTTAAACGGAGATTAAAATGACATTGTTAATGTAAAAATGTCATTTTAAACTTCGTTTAACACAACGGTGGAATCGGTCCTAAGATATTTAGCTACAGCTGAAACTCTAAATACGATAGGCAGAAGCCAATGGCAGTATTTGGCAATTATTGCAATTTAAGTAAACAAATTTAAGACTTACTGGAATTGAACCTGGATAATGGGAAGTAATAAACACATAATTTAAGTTTGTTCTATTATTTATTTGTTACAGGATTTACAAAATACATTGTTACTTATATGCATACAAAAAAATATTAATATTATTAATATAACAAGCACATATTTGTTTTACCTTACAGCTCTTACTTCTCACTTTAAATTATAAAGGCATATCTATTAACAACTATTTTATTTAAAAGGATATTGAGTAGTAATCGGTGGTGCACAAACTAATTCATACTAATTCACAGTACCTATCTGTTCAAAATCTTAATCACCAGCTTTAATGCAAGCATTAAACCTTCTTTTTTGAACACATTATGCAGTTTCTCCTCAGTTATATTTTGTATATCATTCAATATAGGTGCTCCAATTCATAAACGTCACAAACGATTTTGAATTGAGCGATCTGTAATATTCCATATGTAGTTTTAACAAAATTAAGGTAAAATGATTGTTGCAGTATCGAAACTTTATAGGGGATGCATTATCAGAATTTTTTTTTAACTTTATGGCTAGTTCGTAGTGATGAACCTAAAAAAAAATATGTTTTGAATTTCACTCGCCAGAGTCAGTCTTTAAAACACCGTTAATACCTGTTTGAGGTGCTGTTTTTTTTTACTAATTTATTGGGAATTTACAACATGTTAATTTGCACATCTTCAACAGCTTTTGTTATTACTTTGGGCATTTTAGACCTTTTTCCTTTTTTGAACAAGTATTTGTTTATGACGACAAAAAAGAATCACATTCCATTTATTCACCTGGAAAACGTTCCTCAAATTTTCGAATAATTTTGTTCCAGTATAACATTACCTACAATAAATTATATAGTCATTAACTTTTACGAGTTACAATAAATAAATTTGTACTTACCAACAAAAAACAAGCCACCAATATTCTCTAAAAATAACTAATTGCTTTATTAATATTAAATGAAAAATGGACTAAGGGTGTTTATAAAATGTAAACAAATATAATATAAATATTGTCAGTCCCCAAATGAACGCCAGTGACATTTCTGACAGGATTGACAGTTCAGTTTAGTTCCCTTTACGTCAAATCAGGCCCTTTCGATGGGTTTTTGATGGTTATCAGATCACGTGGGTTTCGGGTATTGTTGAAGACCTGGTACATAAAAAATGAAGAGTTTGAGGATTTTCTCATGGACCCAATTATTAGATTTTCACCAAATTTATATGGGACCACCCCTGAAGTACCCCCTTTCTAACAAATCATTAAAATCGGACACCGTGTTAAAGAATTATCGCTGAACATAAAAAAAAATATATATATATCGCGACGAATTGATAACCTCCTCCTTTTTTGAAGTCGGTTAATAAATAAAATAGGGTAATTATTATTAAATAATAATGTGGTAGTAACCAAATATCAAAATAACGAAATATTTAATTTCTAATAATCAAATCTGACAAGATATAATTTATGTGAGTAAGAATTCCAAGTGTTTTAAGGAGATATTCAACCTACTAATTCATAAACAAACAAGAATGATATACTTACATTGTAAACTTGTATGATTCATCTAATCGGCACGTACATCCATGCTCGCGGCACGCCATTATCGTATCATTATCATTATTATTTAACGCTTTTATTATTGTTTTAAAATTGTTATAACATTATTTATTTTTTCGAAGAACCTAATTGACATTTTTAGTGTTATGCTCAGATGTAGGTACAGGGTGGTCAGACGAAAACCTACCAGAGCCCAGAGCCATTATTAGCAGTTTTAATAATACTGACTCCCTGGGCGAGATTTCTACGCGGCCCTTTCCCTTCACAACAATTCATATAAATGTAAAATAATGAAGAAATTAAAAAATATTTTTTCTACAAAAAGAAAAAGTATGCTATTGCGTTTAACTAAACGAATATATTTCATATCCATTCTAGGTAGTAAGAAAACTGCAAAAAATGGTAAAACCACCAATCACAGTTTATACTTTGGTCAACCGACTCCTATTATTTTTAAAGTTTTAAATAAGTGACAATTCTGTCAAACTAATTGTCAGTATGTTTTTTTATTTTGAAATTAAATATACATTAAAATGATTTTTTATTCTTGATGAAATTTTTTACCTGTGCAAATTTCTTAATAGAAAGATACTTTGTATCCCCACATCTTTTTTCGTGATCCAGTTTTTGTTTTCTGACATATTGTATTTATTCGCCTTTGAGAAATACTAAATAATTTCTGGCAAACCTGTTTTTTATTATCTTCAATAAAAATCTATAAAAAAGAGGTAAACACTATGTTTGACATACATTTTAAATTACTATTTAAGTACAAAATAATTTACAGAAAAATTATGAGATTTTCCATCTCTGCGACTTCGTTTCCGCTTTGGGTTTGTAATTTCCATGTAGCTTGGAAGTATGTTGTTTTGCGTAATTTTGTTGGGACATTCAAAAATATATTGAGGATTTTTTAGCATATCTTCTTTTGAGATTTCTTGACAATCGAAGTTCTTATTTATATAATTGCAAACTAAGTCAAAATTGTCCAGGTTAATGTCCAAATGCGAATTTCTATAAAATTAAAATCATTTACAAAAATATATTTTGAATTTCTAACTTTCTAACCTTATTTGTTTTTTTTTCTTTCACGCGATGTTGTATTGCTTCTTCTTTTTCTATGCCTCTGTCCACGTTATCACCTTTTAGATTTTCCATTTTAAACAAAAACCTTCTATCTTTAACAAATAATACCCAAAACACCCTAAAAAGTGTCTAGGCAACACCACACTAGCAGGTTTTCTAATAAAATGAAAGAAAACACCAACAAAATACATTTTGTCCATGTTTTTGGACAATACGCTCTTTTAAAGTCTAGTGTGGCTGGACTAAATTCAGTTTGTCCAAGTATTTTTTCCTGTTATTAACACGAGGAAATAATGCATATTGATGGTAAAAGTGCTTTTAAGAGGATAGTGTGTGAACTAAAGAATGCAGCGTCACCTTTATCTCAAATTTGAAAAATATGGACAAAATACAACTTGAATGTCTGCTCCTCAAATACTATTTTACAAACACTATTTTTTAAATTCTATTTTACAAAAACTATTTTGCAAATATAATTTTACAAGAACAATTTTATAAAGTTAGAATGACATGTTAAATACTACTAGTATTTCCACTGATGACTATGGAAAATTCTTATGGAAAATAAAGTATACCAATTTATTTGTGTGTAAAAAATAGAAACACCAATGTGGATTTACCTATTTGTTTTCGCTAATTCCAGTCCAACCGTATAAGCGTTCCGACCAATTAATTATGTTTTGTACAATAAGTTTTCAATTTCCCAACAATTAGTTTGCAACTTTTCCGACCTTGACACTCGTTTAGCATAATCCATTTAAAAACAAAACAGCGTTTTTCCCCAGCGATCATTCAATTTCCAAAGTACACTTTTAATAGATAACGATTGTTTATGTTCAGCTTGGCTTTTGAGAAATCGGTTATTATCTACTTACTATCTCCAGTTCCTATAACTAGTTGTTTATGCCAATTTCTCATAAAATTCGATTCCAATTTTTTATTTTTAATCTGTAATAAAACGATTAATGGGTAATCTATCTTACTTAGTAAATAAACGGCAAATATTTAGTGATCTTAAAGCAGATGTGAATATTCAAATTATTGTATCAAAATTATCGAATATTATTTATTGTCACATTCATTTCAAAATAATTTTGATTATCTCAGTAAACATGTGGTAATTTTATTAATCTAGTAGGTGAATATATTTACGTGTCATAAATATTTTGACATTAATGGCCATTTTGTTTGTCGTACCTTCTGTCATAAAAATTGTATTACATTATTTAAGTACTTACATCTATATATAATAAATTATTTGTAGTGAAGTATCTTTTACATTTTTCTCTATTTAACAGTGACCAATTTAGGGAGGAGGCACAGGGGGCGCGCCTCCCCTTAGAGCCTTTCTGAATAAAGAAAAAGTAACAACTTTTTAAATGGATTAAATGTCGTCGTCTGATTATTTTCCAAATTTACACAAATGTCTTAAAATTTTTTGCACATTTACAATTCCTGTCTCTACTCTTGGGATTTTAAAAAGACGACCACATTTAAAACTTACCTATGATCTACCATGCTAAAAGATCGCCCTAGAAATAGATAAAGACGAAATAAGAAATCGATGTTTAAATAGAAAGACAAGTATGGGAAAAAAAACACAAAATCCGTATCACACAAAAATATTTTATTAAAAAAATGTAGGCATGCGGTTTCGGCTTAAAAGCCATCATCAGGTCTGAAATATGAACGATTAAATGAGTGGTAAAGATATGTGGTTTTGGTCAAATTAAATTAATGTGGAATGATTAGTAAAAATTTGTTAAAAAATTAAAAAATATCAGAATTAATACAGTGTGGTCCAATGAAAAATATCCACTACCTTCTCTTGGTTTCCTCAGATTTAAAGAAGAAATGCTTGGACACGTCGACTTTTCTTTGGAGGAGGACACATCTTCGAGCAATGGGGTGAACAAACCCTAGAATATAGATAGGCAGATTTTTGTGGCTGTATAAAGCTTTCTTTGGCACCAAAGATGGTAAAGGACGGAGGCACGAAAAGGCAGCTTTGAGTTGGGTCCAAATATCTTTCATAGTTATTGAAGTTATTGAAGTTAGAATGCATTTCTTTTCAAGAAATCATTTATTTATCCAACAATTATAAAAGAACTAACTAAAAAATTATTTTTGAATGAAAATAAACAAAAATTCTTAAGAAGTTTAATAAGGAACAAAAAAAACTAAATATTTAACACACCATAAAGTATTTTACAAAAAAAATCTGTCACTGTCAAAATCTTCGTTTGTACAGAGGGCACATTCATAAAATGTGTCCGTGCTCGCCTTATTGCAAAAGCCACAGTCCCATTGTCTGCATTTCTTGCAACAAATCCAATCAGGCCCTGTATAATTCTCCCACTTTCTGAAGCAAGCTGCGCAGGCGTCGTCTGAACTTTTAACAGCCTTTTTTGCTTGCTTTCTCATTGTTTTTTTTTGTAGAAACTGCAACTAAGTGGTTTGTCGTCACTATTATCGTCGCTAATGTTTGAAATGTTTTTCTGGGTCCCTGAAGAGCCAGCGACTGGTTCATCTGATTAAGGAGCAACTATCTTAAGTTGTTTACCGGGCTCTATTTTCTTGCCACGCAATCGAGCGACCTTTTCCTTTCTTGAACCGCGCAGATCTTAAAGCAGATCAATTAAGCTGTCATTTAGGATAGCAGTTTGGGCATTTTCGTTATCGCCTTGTATTTGCATGTCAGGAATTCTTTTTAGAACTTCTTGAGGATTAAAAAGACAGAGCTCTGTGGACCTAAATCCAGATTTTAAATCATTGGACACATTTTCAGTGACTGCAACCCACAATCGATTTTGGAGGACAGGAAAATATTTTTTTGGAACGGAGGAAGTTGATTTGGTTTCACTGCGCCATTTGTCTATAATCTGACGCCATTTTTTTTTTAAACGGGGCAATCACTGCCACATCTAATGGTTGCATTAGATGGGTGCTGTTGGGAGGCAACGCTGTCATGTAGATATTGGTCTCCTTGTAAGCTTTAATGGCAGTGGGTGAAAAATGAGAGAGACAATTTACCCCAACAACAATTTGTTTTCAGGATTTTCAATTTCTTTAATTTTGAGCAATAAAATTTGGAAAAACCACTTTTCAAATTGGTCCATATCGAACCAGCTGCTAGGTGTGTTACTATAGACTGTTCCAGGAGGACTAACTTTTATCCAATCTTCGTATAGATTGCCTGCCTTGTACACCATCATAGAGAGTAATAAATTTCCTGGAGCGTTTCCACACACCATTATACTGATCGAGGCCTTGGAATGCTGTTTAACTCTCTCCACGCGTTTGGTTCCCCTTGAAAAATTACCTTTTTGGCACAGGGTCATTTCGGATATTAGTTCCATCGTAATTGAAAACCAAAAAAGGGTTAATATCTTGCAAAACATCTTTAATGTTATCAAAAAATTCGCAAATTTCATTCTGTCCTACCGTCGCACGTGTTCGCTTTATGTTTGCAGCCAAACGGGCACTCAGATTATTCCGGATTATGAAGTTTTCAAGAAAATTTTGTCCAGGAACATTGTCTTTTAACGTTTCGCCATTTCTTTCTAAATATTTGTGCGTTAATTCGCGAATATCGGCTTTGTTAAAAGGAAATCCCCAATTGTTTACTGTCACTAATGTCTTTGTCAGAAATTGCTCTTACGCAGGTGTAAATATCGTCGGATGACCTGGAGGGCGCGCATGCTTGCCCTTCAACTTGTTTTGAAGGGTTTACTGGCCGCTGCCTGATTCATGACATTTCTAATAGCAGCCAACGCTTTTTCAAAGTTAGCTCCGGTAAAGATTCTGTAGGCACGCTCCCCCTCCACTTTTTCTTATAGTTTCTAGGCATGGTTGGTCACTTTATACCTGTAACAAACGAGAACAACTGAAAAAAACCGAAAAAACATTTTTTTTTACATATATATGACCAAATTGCCAAAAAAGCCCGAAGTGCCAAAGTAACCCCGTTTTAAGGTATTTTTCCTATCTAAATTCTAGTGATTGTTCACCCCACTGCTCGAGTGATGCAATTAGAAAAAAAAATGTGTCCCCCTCTTTTATTATAATCATGCTCTTTTTCGAGAATTCTTACATTTTCAAAATCAAAAGAATGCAAATTTACTAATGCATATTTTGTTAAAGCAAAGAATTTTAATTTTATTTGTTAAAAGATAATCTTTATAGTTTTTTATTCTTTTGCTAAAATATTGTTTTGTTTGTAAGTAAAGTTACAAAATTGATTGCAAATTATACATAAATATTCAAAATTTGCCATTTTCGTATTTTGAATAAGAACGTTTGTTTTTAAAAATATTGAAACATGGACGAAGAATCTTCTGTTGAAAACTAACCCACTTTCTCGCCTATCATCTTAGGAGGATGCACAATGGGCCTAATGAGGCTTAAGTGCAGTGGGGTAACCCACCATCCACATGTTGCAGATACAGATCTATAAGGTGATGTTATTAAATATTTTAATTTTTGACAAATTTACATTTTTTTTTATACAATGAACAGAAACTTCAAAAATTAAAAAAACATCAAATTGTGTACTTTTATTTATCCTTTTAACTGTTTTTTTTCATTTTCGAAATCGAATAAAAAATAATTTCAAATTCTATGTGAAAAAGTATGGTATTTTTATTCATATGTATATTATCCTTTTATGTTAATCAATTGATAATAAATTAATAATTGATTATAAAATTACAGCTGTGTTTATTTAATAAAAGTAGAAATACATATTTTAGTATTCTAATTATAAAATTAAAATAGTTGGTAGTGGATAAAGTTAAAAAATTTTTTTGAAAACAATAGGAATAATTTATTTAAATTTAAACATTTTCATTCAATATATGTTTTATTAAATATGCAAACCTAATAGACAAACATTGAAAAAAAATTAAAAATACAAATTATTAAAAAAAGAAAAGTCTTAAAAATTTTGTACGCCATTTTAATGATATAATATTATTGTACCTGCATCAAAATAAAAAAAAGCATAAAAATATAATTCCATATAATTATTAATTTAAATTTTAATATGATTGAATTTACCAAAAACATATTTTATTTTTCAAATACGAGGTACCTACCCTTGGCCAAATTAATGAGGACATTGTTTTGAATTTGATATTTGGACTAATATACAAATAACATATTTTTGTTTTCTTTTATTTTCATATTTACCTACATTATAATTTTCATTGTCTCGATAGAAATCTAATTTTGTACGTTATGAATGAGTTCATTAATATAAACACATGGAAAAATAAACATAAATCTAACAGTTGTCAAATCTGTATGTATATCATGCCAACAGTTACTAGAAACTTGAACCATAGGTAATTTTATCAACGTCATAAATCTACTTAACAAAAAACGTTCCTAGAAAAGAATCTAATGATAAAAAAACACATACACATCTAATTTTAAAATCAAAAAACCCTGACACACAGTTCCCAAACAAAAGATACCGAAATAACTCCTTCCCATCTAAATATAAAACAGCCTTTCCTTAGAATTTTTTTAAATTATGCAATGAAATCCGATTACAATTTTTAAAACGTCTACTAGATATAATTAAATAAAATTTTATCGCCAAGGTAGATGCTAAGTTGAAAATTCCCCGCAAGGTCGATTCAAAGGTCGCTTACTTAAACGACCGAGTACAATGTTGCAGTTCAAAAGTACCGATATTGATCGTTATTTTTAGATTTTGCAATGTATAACCACACATTTTCTTTTTGACGATATTTATAAACGCCCTTTGATAAATTTAGCGGAAGGATAGTTTCCTTGAGTTTTAAATACTTTGAGCCAAAATACAGGAACAGATTTGTAACGAAAAATACAAGGTTATCTATATTTTACACTAAATATAAAGTATTCGTTGGAAAATATCACTAAATTCTCTACAAATCTATCATTATTCATATTTAAATCAATTGTCCTCAATTTTTTGTTTGACTTGTCCCATCATCCTCCGGATCACAAAAGGGACGACTTCTCGAATTTTCTGAAAAATGCGAAGACGTAATTGGTCTTTATCTGCAGCTTCTTGTATATACTTAATGCTTATTTGTTGTTAAAATGAAAATTTTAATACACCTGATCCGCCTAATACAATTTTTCGTTTAGATTTAATTATGTTCTATGAGTTTTTAGTGTAATAAACATTTGCTTTTGACAGATAAGTCAGACTTTATTTATTCATAGCCGTATCGTATTTATTTTAATTAATTCACAATTATGTATAAGTATATATTATAATTTTACGATTATATTAGAATGGCGAGTGCATTAAAAAAAATTGCAAGCACAAGTACGCGTAAACGACATAGTGGACATAGAAGAAGAAAATATCGTACGTAATGTATTTAATAATCTTCAAAAAGACTTTGTTTCACTTTATGTGGATGAAATACCCACTAAATGTGAGTGCTATACTGGAGTATGTAAGCGGACAGTATACAGGGTGTTCGATAAGTACGGTACATAACTTCAGGAGCGTATTCTGGAGCTAAAATAAAGGTATTTTTGTCATATACACTGTCTCAAAAATACTTCGTTACGGAAATACAGGGTGTAAAAGTTTTCATAAAAAAAATACAATTTTTTAAATATTTCCAAAACCACTTGAGATATTTCAATTAAATTTTTGCAGCTTTTGAGAGTTTTTGTTTAATCAGTATATTTTTTTTATGAAACTTTTATTTTACCTCTAGAATACGCTCCTGAAGTTATGTACCGTACTTATCGTACACCCTGTATAACCCAGCCATACTTAACCTTTTTTATCTTCAGGCCACACACAAAAAAAAAGAAAAAAAAAAGGAAAAGGAAAAGAAGAAAACAAAAACGTCTCTACTCATTTTGGCTGTCTAGATACAGGTCATAATATTCAATGTCTGTGTCACTATCTTTAATGGAAGGTTCAGGTGCCGTGTATTTAACATTATTGGTTACATGTAGATTGTGATAATAATGGTGAAATTCATCAAGTATAGCACCTGAGTTGCAAAGTTTTAGTAAACTTTTCTTCTTGGCATTACTAATGTCTTGCACTTTTTTATAAGTATTTTCAGAGATTTTTTTGTACCCTTTCAGACACTCCTCTGCCGATATGGCTTGTGTTTTTCAAGCAATGCAAAAAGCTGGTGTTTCGATGTTGTTTTGGTGATTTAAGAAGTGCTTCTGGTCATTTTAACGCAAAAACAATATAGAGCTAAGGGTCAGCATCCACGCTCGTTACAGTTTGACCAATCACTCGTTACGACTTGACCAATCAATCATTCACTACGGCGATTCGGGCATCACGTGCTATCTATCATCTATTGGTTTTTAAAGGTTAGCAGTATCGTGAAAGGAGAGGGTGACATAATCACCTTGTCGATGACGGACCAATCAAGAAAGGCCAGAGACGGCTTTAAGCAAAACAAAACAAATGGCTTGGGCAAAATGTTGAAGTATTTTAAAGAATACAATAATCAAAAATAAATGTTCTGGTCTTTATCTTGTTTTAGCAAAAATAATTTATGTTTCTCTTATTTGGTTTTTGGACACACTATTAGCAACTGAATACAATGTTATGATTATATTTCTGTATAAATGCCACTCATCTTCGTTCACACTTGTCTTGTTTATGTCATATAATATTTGAACTATTTTGGAGACAAAAGTGTAATCAACTCGTAAATGCCGAAAGTGGAGCTAACTTGTTCTTAGAAACATTTATTTAAAAATTAACATGATATTTAGCGCAAGCGACTGATGAATGTTTTCGCGCATTTTACTCAAAATGTCAAAAACAAAAATCTATAGTTTTAAGAAGATCCTTCTTAATATTAGTGAGTCGGGCCGCAAAAAAGCTTGGCGGGCCGCAGATTGACTATGGCTGGTATAACATTATTAAAGAAGATACAGTTATTGGAGAAGTCTCACATCCAAACAAACCCCAGGAAGAAGGAAGACCTTTATTGAAACT